AACTGGAAGTCCTTTGTATGCTATTTGCTTCTTTTCTATTTCTGTATTTTAGTATTTTTTTCTTTGTCCTTGATTTTCAGGTGTTTGATTATTATAGTCCTTGGGGTAGTCTTATTTGGGTCAGGTGTTCTCTGACCTTCCTGTACCTGGATATTTATCTCTTTCTTGAGTTTTGGAAAGTTTTCTATTATTATTGTTTTTTGAATACATTTTCTATCCCTTGCTCTTGCTCAATTCCCTCTAAACACCAGTAATTCAATTTTCTCTTTTAAGATAACTTTCTATCTCTTGTAGGCAACCTTTGTTGATTTTTACATTTTTTTTCTTTTTTCTCCTCTGACTGTGTATTTTAAAATAGACTGACTTCGAGCTCACTATTTTGTTCCTCTCCTTGATCTATTTTGCTGTTGAGAGCCTCTAATGAATTTTTCAGCTCAGTGAATGTATTTCTAAGTTCCAGATTTCTGTTTAATTTCTTTTATTATTTCAACTTCTTTGTTAAATTTCTTCAGTGGATTTCTGAATTGTTTTTCTGTGTTATCTTGGAGATCATGGAGTCTCCTTGAAACTACTATTTTGAATTCTTTGTCAGAGAGTTCACAAGTCACTGTCTCCTTAGTGTTATTTTCAGATTCCTTGTTTTGGTCCATTTGGGAAGATTGTGGTTCTGTTTGCTCTTGTTTCTTGTGGGTGTACATATGTGTCTTTGCATTAAAGGATTATTTATTTTGCTCTTCTCTGTCTGGCTTGTTTTGTTTTCTATTGAATATATTTGCTTAGAGTTTTGTTGTTGTCATTTGTTTTGATACAGAGTTTTGCTCTGTCACCCAGACTAGAGTGCAGTGGTGCCAACATGGCTCACTGCAGCCTCAACTTCCTGAGCTCAAGTGATCCTCCTGCCTCTGCCTCCCAAGTAGCTGGGACTACAGGCAAGCATCACTATACTCAGCGAAACTTTTTTTTAATAGAGTTGATGTCTCACCATTTCGCCCAAGCTGGTCTGCTAGGTCACTGCCTCTTTTTCAGCTCTAGGTGGCACCTTAACCTAAGAATTGCTTGTTCTAGTAAAGGACGGGAGCACTGGTTTTCCCAAATGGAGGAGATCCCAAAGGGATCCTGGCAATGTGGGAGGGCTAGCTAGGGGTTTCTGCCCATGGGACCTGTGGAACAAACCTCCTAGAGTGTGGTGTTGCTGACAATCACTCTCATTTGATGTCTCCATTGACTACTTTATAGATCAGAGTTTCCAGAACTGGGTATGGTAGTCCCACCTCCTCCCTTTGCCTGTCCTCAAAAACAAATTTCACTTCAGGCACTCTTAATTTTTCCCATGAAGATGCTTCCCCTGCCAGGAAACCCAAGATGGTGGAGAAGCTGTTTTGAAACCTCAATATCACTTTTTCCATTGTAGAAACAGCAAGTTGGCAGAAATTTTTCCGTGTACTTGGTGTTGGGCAGAATGCAGGGAGGGGTATCTCAGATGTGGAAGTCCAATTCTCTTAACATCTGCTCAGAGTTTTTGTTCACTTCTCTGCATCCCTGGGAACTGTCTCATAATATATTTGAGTTCCAGGATATTTCTGGCAATAACCTCAGCGTTGTACATTTGTTTTTGGTTTTATGGGTTGTGGTGGGTGAGGATTGAAGCCAGCATCCTTCCATGCTGTCATTTTGGTACTCTGTGTTACTATTTTTTATTTGTCCCTTCTGTTCTATATATTTTTTTCCTTTGCTTTTGTTTTTCTTTTAGATTAAGATGGGGGGAATAGGTCAATAATTTCTATATTTTTTCTATTCTTTTAGTTTTTACCATATAGATTTCCAAATGCATCCTTGACACATTAAAATTTAATGTAAATCAGTATTCCTACTGAAAATGTATTTTTTTAATGATTCAATATTTGTTTAGGCTAACTCATATATTTACCTTTTTCTTTCCTTTTCATTGATTTTTGCTCCCCAAGCTGCCATCTAGAATTTTTTTTTCACGCCTGTAATCCCAGCACTTTGGGAGGCCGAGGCGGGTGGATCACAAGGTCAAGAGATCAAGACCATCCTGGTCAACATGGTGAAACACTGTCTCTACTAAGAATACAAAAAAATCTGGGCATGGTGGTGTGTGCCTGTAATCCCAGCTACTCAGGAGGCTGAGACAGGAGAATTGCCTGAACCCAGGAGGCGGAGGTTGCAGTGAGCCGAGATTGCGCCATTGCACTCCAGCCTGGGTAACAAGAGCTAAACTCAGTCTCAAAAAAAAAAAAAAAAAAAGAATGCCATTTGATATTTCCTTTCATGTTCATTGAAAAATGTCTTTATTTTGCTTTTATTTCTGAAGAATATCGTTTCTGGATATAGAATTCTTCTTGGAGTTCTCTTCTATTAATACTTTGAAAATGTTATCTCATTGTATGTTGGCTTCCTTAGTTCACTTTGAGGAGTCACCTGTCCATGTTTATTGACATTGCTTAGTAGAAGAAAATTGTTCTCTTTTTTCCCTTGTTTTTTCCCCCACCTCACATTTTATCTTTGTCTTTGCTTTTGTATAACCTTACTATAATATGCCTCAGGTTTTATGCTGCTTGTAGCTTTGGAACTTCTGGACTAGATATCCTTTGTCAGTTTAGGGAATTTTTTTATTATTATCTCTTTAAGTATTTTACTACTCCATTCTGTCTCTTTTTATAATCTTATTACACATATTTTTCACATTTTCACTATATTTCATATACTTTTTCTGTATTTTTTATTTTTCCCCCTGTATGTTTCAGTCTGGTTATGTCCTTTGTATCTAACTCCTAGTTCAACAATTTTCTCTTTAGTTTTGTAATTTGTCATTTAACTCATCTGCTAGCTATGACTTTTAAAAATTGTAATCATTAAACTTTTTATTTCTAGCATTCTTATTTTTTTGTAATATTGTCTATTTTGATATTTTCCTTTCTGTCTGAAAATTACTTGAACTATTTTAATAGTCACTTTAAAGTTCATGTTTGAATTTTCTTTGCTTATTTCAAGTGCCACTTCCCCCCTTGATTTTTAGTAAAGTCTTTTAAAATATCTGTTTATTTCTGATTGATTTATGAACATCATTGGTGAAAATCTGTAGAGCCAATTTGAACCTCTGGATGAAGTTATTTTCCTCCAGAGAGGATTTTTACTTCCAACATGCACTAAACTAGTAGCATCTAGATAACTTTAATTTACTCAGGGATTAAGTTATTTCAAAGCTAGTTCTCATTCCCTTTGATGATCAGCTATTTCTTGTTTTCTTTATTCTTTGGAGTCCCAATTGAAAGATCAGGGTGTTTATCAGGGCCTCGTCTCCTGTGCTGTTTTGTAATTTTTGCCCCCTTCTCCCCTGAGAATCTGCCAAAACGCTCTACTAAATTCCCCAGTAGCAATTTGTTTACATAATTGTCATATGTCTTAAGAATAAAAGCAATGCCCGGTGTTTTGCCCATTTTCTAAAGCTCTATGGCTTTGTCTTGTGTCCCATTGTGACTTTAATACTGTAAATGCCTCTAGGGTGGCTAAAGTTCTGATATAAACTGACATTCCTGGATTTTAGCATCCTCTTTGTTTCTAATCTCTATGTATTGATTTTGCTTTGTCTTAATTTTTTATACATTTATTTTCACTTTGAAAGTATATTATTTTTATCCAGTATTTCTAGGTCTTTTGTATTGGGAGGGTTTTTGTTTTGCTTTTTTTTAAATTTTATATCTGATCTTCCATAGTCTATATTTTATTTTTTCTTACTCAGTTGCATTTGTTTAGATCCAATTTCTTTTCATTCTTTTTGATTGCTTTTGGAAAAAGTATTGCCAAACTACACAAACATTTTCTATATGGGTATATTGTATTTAAAACACATTTTAAAACATTGACTATATAACTAGGTCATGTTCTCACTTCTGTAAGTCAGATGAGTAATACACCATCTCTGCCCTTGATGAGTTCATAGTTTCTGTTTTCTTCTACAGCATTAACCTCAAAGGGCTCTTACAATACGGAGATTCACGAAATCGATTGTTCTTCAATCATAATGTTTGATTTGTTTTTATTATTTAAAATCATTTTCATAGACAGAGTCTTGCTCTGTTGCCCAGGCTAGAATGCAATGGTGTGATCATAGCTCACCGTAGCCTCAAACTCCTAAGCTCAACTGATCTCACCTCAGCCTTCCAAGTAGCTAGGCCCACAGGTGCATACCACCACACCCAGTTAATTTTAATTTTTTTTTGTAGAGATGGGCTCTCACTGTGTTGTCAAGACTGGTTTTAATCTCCTGGCCTCAAGTGATCCTCCCACTTTGGCTTCTCAAAGTGCTGGGATTATAGGCATGAGCTACTGTGCCCAGACAATAATGATGTTTTGATATATTACAGGCAATAATGATTTCTAAATGGCAATAGGGAACCAGACACCCATTCTGAACTTGTATAGTGTACTAGAGTATCATTTGAGAAGCTTACATGGCGAAGCAGTGTCCTTGGGAAAGAAAATGGTTTTTATTAAAACAAGAAGATGGAGGGAACTCTTAAAGAAGAAGTCAAGAATCTGTGAAAGTTAGCTTTTTGCAAAGCAGGAATTCCAGGGAACACATGGAAAGGTTTAAGATAGGACAATGGAAGTGTCAAGGAAGATGGAATGTCACGTGGAATTTGGTCTAGTAAAAGCAGCTGATTGAAGGAGGCCTGACACTTGGTGTTAACCAATGTAACGGGGAGAGAGGCAATCTTGCTGAGGAAGGTGGGCATTAGATCTAAAGGCCAACATACTTAGATAACATAACCTGGACTGATGTTCATGTCAGGGGTGTCAGTCATCCTTACGTCTGTTCTTAACACGAATGACCTGAGATGGCAGCTTATGGGGAGACAGGTTTTTTTTTTTTTTTTTTTTACATGAACTTAATGTCTGAAAAATGTTTTTGCTACTTTTTCCCTTTTCATTGCTTATAATATAGTGTTCTCCAACTTAGTGATTTTCTTTTTTAGATTTTGCAATGGAAATTATCGAGAAACAAAAGAGAGTTTCACACTCAAACAGGAAAATGTCCTTCCTCAAAAAAACTAGTGTAACTAAACCATCAACGAGACCCAGGTAAGATATAGAACCTGGCTACAGCAGCATCTTCAGGCACAGATTTTTGAAAAATCTCAACATGGCTAATACCAACCTTATCTTTCTATGCGTAGGTTTTCAGACCCTTTTCTACATACAATACATATAGGCACAGACACTCTTCATAGTTTAAATCTTAGCACTATGCTACATATATATTATATAATAACTTTTTTTTTTTTTTTTTTTTGAGACGGAGTTTCGCTCTTGTTACCCAGGCTGGAGTGCAATGGCGCGATCTCGGCTCACCGCAACCTCTGCCTCCTGGGTTCAGGCAGTTCTCCTGCCTCAGCCTCCTGAGTAGCTGAGATTACAGGCACGCGCCACCACGCCCAGCTAATTTTTGTATTTTAAGTAGAGACGGGGTTTCACCATGTTGACCAGGATGGTCTCGATCTGTTGACCTCGTGATCCACCCACCTCAGCCTCCCAAAGTGCTGGGATTACAGGCTTGAGCCACCGCACCCGGCCTATATAATAACTTTTTAAACTTAAACTGTCATAGACATCTCACGCCAGTATATGCAGGTCTGCTCCTTCCCTGAGTGTGGTAGAACTTACATAGACTTTGCATCGCCTTTCATTTTTTAACTGCTCTAAATAGCATCACGATAAACATCTTTGTATGTGTTTCTTTGCCTACTTGTGTTTTCTGGGTTAGGTACTGCTGTAGTAGCCTCCTAAATGGTTTCTTACTTCTTGTCTCTCTCCACTTATAACAAATCTGAGAATCGGCCTCTGGTAAGGTCCCACAACTAGGCAAAGACCCTGTGGCCTCTTCTTTCAGGAGGGCCCACCCACCTTTGTTTCCATGTACATTAGCATGAGTGCCACCTATACATAAAAAGTTCTCCAGGGCCAGGCACGGTGGCTCACGCCTGTAATCCCAGCACTCTGGGAGGCCGAGGCGGGTGGATCACAAGGTCAAGAGATCAAGACCATCCTGGTCAACAAGGTGAAACCCCGTCTCTACTAAAAATACAAAAATTAGCTGGGCATGGTGGTGCGTGCCTGTAGTCCCAGCTACTTGGGAGGCTGAGGCAGGAGAATTGCTTGAACCCAGAAGGCAGAGGTTGCGGTGAGCCAAGATCATGCCATTGCACTCCAGTCTGGGTAACAACAGCGAAACTCTGTCTCAAAAAAAAAAAGTTCTCCAAATATTACATCTGCTGTGACTTTCTTCTCGTCTGAAACCCTAAATGTCTGAGGTACAATATCAGGCACTTATATGTACTACTTTCTACTGATCTTTACTTTTTAGGTATGTTTTCCAACTTCTTAACTTGAGTATAATTTTCTTGTAGGTCATACCATTCAGTTACTTATGTATTTTTATTTATTCAGTTATTTTCTACTATCTGTAATGGCTAGCTATATGAAAGGTCCTCTTCTAGATGATGAGGCTATAGAAGAACATATAAATATGTTAATCAAAATGTCCACAGAATATTTTGCATAGAAAAAACTCCCACAAAAACTTTTTTTTAATTAATTTTTTTCTTGAGACAGGATCTCACTTTTTTTTATCCCGGCTAGAGTGCAGTGGCTCCATCACACCTCACTGTAGCTCAACCTCCCTGGGCTCAAGTGATCTACCCACTTCAGCCTCTTAAGTATCTGGGACTACAAGTACATGCTGCCATGCCTGACTTTTTTTTTTTTTTTTTTTTTTTGTACAGACTGGGTCTTTCCATGTTACCTAGATTGGTCTCAAACTCTGGGCTCAAGTGATCTTCCCATCCCAGCCTTCCAAAGTGCTGAGATTATAGGCACTTGTACCCAGACAAGAATGTTTTCATTTACTGATGATATTCATTGAGGGTGACAAGTCTTTGTCTCTTCCAAGCACTCTAAATAGATCTTGCTCCCTTTAGGCAACTGAAATTATTCTCTGAGGTTCAATCATTTGTCCCTTTTGCTTTTCCAATTTGTCCTAGTCACTGCTCTCCATTATGTCTATAGATATATTTATTTTCTAATTTAGTTAAGCATGAATATCACAGAAGTCTTAAATCACATATCTGTAAGAAAATTAAGTTCTAGAAGACGCATCAGGGTCATATCGTCTAGTTTCATGACTTCGGTTAAGACCAAGCAGAATAGCTCAGGGAAATCACAGCTGCGATCCTCTTAAACCTTGTCCCTGTCTCTTATTCAACAAGTAAATGGCTACTGATCATGTACTGTATTCTAGACACTCTGTGAATTCTAATGATACAAAAATAAGACATAGTCCTTACCCTTAATCAAATTAGGTAACTAAAGAAAATGCAAGGCTGACTTTAAAATGGTATGATAAAATATTAGCCGATTGGTATGGAAATACAGTGAAAGGAGAGAGAAATTTAGAGTGAGGATTGGGAAAAGTTAGAATATCAGAAGATGCCCAGAACTGCATGTGTAAATTCAATTGCAAAGAAATTGGAGTATTTTGTGGGTAGGGATAAACCCTACTCAAAGATGAAGATGCAACACAAAGCTATAAACTCATGAATATAAACGTAATATTCAAAGACTTGAAAATAGTCCAGTGGTGTTGAAGTACACAGTGCATGCGGCGAAGGGACATAAAACATAAAATTAAAAAGCCAGATTGAGACCAAATAATTAGAGAAAGGTCTTGGGTAGATTATTAAGGAACTTGCATTGTTTAAATGGCAGTGAGGATTCTTCGGGGTTTGTCGGAGCAGTGGGTGGCGGAAGTATCTGTTATGTGGATTTTTAAACTATTACTCTGACAGACATGAGAATATAAGGAGTCAGACATCCAGCGGTTGAAGGCAGAAATCATAGTTGGAAAGTCTTTGCAGTCATTTGGGCAAACAATAAAGATCTGAGTAAACTGTGGAAGCGAAATGGAAGGGAGAATGCAGATGTACAAAACAATGAAGGAAGGGATTCGATTTCTGGAATGGTAGAGCAAGAACTTTGTAAGTAGTCACTCCATAAAAGCAAAGCTGGGAAAACCTGTCAAAAAGAATTTCAGAACTCTGTCAACTAACTAAAGGCATCTAACAAATCAAAAACTGTTTATCGGGCCAGGCACAGTGGCTCAAGCCTGTAATCCCAGCACTTTGGGAGGCCGAGGCGGGTGGATCACGAGGTCAACAGATCGAGACCATCCTGGTCAACATGGTGAAACCCCATCTCTACTAAAAATACAAAAATTAGCTGGGCGTGGTGGCGCGTGCCTGTAATCCCAGCTACTCAGGAGGCTGAGGTAGGAAAATTGCCTGAACCCAGGTGGCGGAGGTTGTGGTGAGCCGAGATTGCACCATTGCACTCCAGCCTGGGTAACAAGAGCGAAACTCCGTCTCAAAAAAAAAAAAAAAACTGTTTATCCAAGAAAACAACCAGACCTCAGTAAGAACAGTGTCACCTGTGGCATTTTACTTGTAATCACCCGCATCACAGCAAGCTGGACAGCCATGAGTACCAGCCATCTTGCTGCCAGCCGAAGAAAGTGATACGGTTTGGAGCGCCACAAAAAAGCCAATGACCAGCAAAACCAATAGCCATCCCTGTGGCAAACAACCAGGAGACCACTCTCACACCCACTTAAGGCAGTGGTACTAGTTGGGCAAGCGGTAAAACAGCCAAAAGTATAAAAGGTAAAACAGCCAAAAGTATTAAAAAAAGGTAAAACAGCCAAAAGTATAAAAGAAAAATCTGGGAGCAAGATATTCCCAAGGGACTGTGCAAATGCTGTGCAGATGCTCAAGACAGACTGAAGAGAAGCCCAATTATCTGTTTATCATTGGCTGATAATGAAGCACTGAAAACTAGTGTAAAAAGAAAAATACGTATTAAAACGAGAAACAACTGAGCGGACACTTTAGTAGCCACACACTTCAGGGGAAATATATTCTACAGAGCTAGCCCACATAAGTCATTTAACAGAAAACAAAATGTAAAAAAAGCAAACGAAACCATCAACAGCAGCAATCTTTGGTGGATGGGGGGTGGGGTGTAAATTCAGAATCCAGAGTTGTGATAATATATTATCCCAAATTCAACTTTAGACAAAAAATTATAAGACACACACACACAAAGAAAAATCCCAGGAAAGTATGCCCCATCCACAGGGAGAATAAAGGCAGTCAATAGAAACTCTCTCTAGGGTGATTCAGATGTTGGACCAAAGACTTCCAAGCAGTAGGTTCAACAAACTAAAGAAAACCATGTCTAAAGAATTAAAGGAAGGCTGGGCACAGTGGCTCACACCTGTAATCCCAGCACTTTGGGAGGCCGAGGAGGGTGGATCATGAGGTCAGGAGTTCAAGACCAGCCTGGCCAATATGATGAAACCCCATCTCTACTAAAAATACAAGAATTAGCCGGGCATGGTGGTACGCACCTGTAGTCTCAGCTACCCAAGAGGCTGAGACAGAAAAATCGCTTGAACCCCTGGAGGCAGAGATTGCAGTGAGTCTAGATCACACCACTGTGCTACAGCCTGGGCAACAGAGCAAGACTCTGTCTCAAAAAAAAAATGAATTAAAGGAAGGTATTCTGGCAATGATTAATCAAATAGAGAATATCAATAATGAGATAGAAATTATAAAATACAACAAAAAACCTAGCATTGAAAAGTACATAACTAAAATGAAAAATTTACTAGAGGCAATCAATAACAGATGTAAGTTGACAGAAGAATCATAGAGATCCACACAAAGACACATCATAATCAAACTGTTGAAAGATAAAGACAGAAAAATCTTGAGCGCTGCAGGAGAAAAAGGATGTATCATATTCAAGGGAACTACAGCAAGATTAATGTTTATTTCACATCAGAAACAATGATACCAAAGGTACTGAAATTATATATTCAAACTAAATTGAAAGGAAATAAATAATAACTATTAATGTATAGATAAAAAAGAGAAAAACACAGGAAATCTAGGCAAATAAGTTAGTTTTTTATAAAGATCAATACAATTGTTAAATTGTAAGATATAGTGACCAAGGGAAATAAGATGACACAGATAATCAACATCTGGATTTAAAGAGCATAAATTCTGCCCTGCAGAAATTAATATGATTTTAAGGAAATGCAAGAAACAAATTAGGCAACTTAGATAGAATACATAAATTTCTAGAATTTATGAAGTAAATTCTGAAGTAAGCTAGCTACTTTTCAAGGAAAAGTAGAACATGTGAATAAATCTATAATAAGAAAAGAATCGAATTAATAATTTAAAGTTTTCTCACATAGAAACACCCAGGCAGAGACAGCTTCACTGCGGAATTCTATGAAATATTTAAAGGCTAAGTAATGTCAATATTCCATGACCTCTTTGAGGAAACAGAGAAAGAAGAAACACTTGCCACCTTATTCTTTGAGGGCAGTATTATCCTGATCCCAAAGCCAGACCAAAGACGTAATAAGAAAAGAAAACCACAGACCAATACTCCCTCTAGTTTCTAGGTACAAAAACCTTCAATACAATATTTGCAAATGAAATCCAGCAATACATAAAAAAAGATCAGTGGCCAGGCTTGGTGGCTCGTGCCTCTAATCTCAGCACTATGAGAAGCCAAGGTGGGCAGATTGCTTGAGCTCAGGAGTTTAACACAAGCCTGGGCAACATAGTGAAACTCCATCTCTACAAAAAAAATAATAATAATACAAACATTATTAGCTGGGCACGATGGTGCACGCCTGTAGTTACGGCTACTTGGAGGCTGAGGTCAGGGGGAATCACTTGAGCCTGGGAGGTCAAGGCTGCAGTGAGCTGTGTTCATGTCACTGTTCTCCAGTCTGGGTTACCAAGTGGAATTTATCCTAGGAATACAAGGAATGCAAAAAGCAGTTATTATACCATACTAATGACACAAGGGGGAGAAATTCACATGGTTATCTCAACTGATGCAGAAAAAAAGCCTTTTACAACGTCCAGCACATATTTGTGATTTTTGAAATTCTCAATAAGATAAGAATAGAAGGGAACTATCTCATCCTGATAAAGGGCATCTGTTAAAAATCTATGGTTAACATCATAATGAAATAGGTGTATAAAGGAAGAGCAAGTTGGTCAAGATGTAGGTGTGTGTATAGAGAGGTTTAAATAATAACTATGACATAAAGATGAGGTTTCATGGGCAGTTCAAATTTAAAAGTGGAGAACACAGGAACTGGAGATGTAGTTTCACCCATCAATAAAATTGGAAATCACTTCCTCCTATCAATAAACATTGAAACCCCAGAGGAGGCACAGATTACTGAGAAAAACCCATAAGGCAAAAGAATAGAGGACTGAGGATGAAACATTAGGGGCACCTTTATTCAAGGGGCAGTGAAAGAAGAAACCAGCAAAGGAAATTTAGAAACATTAATCAAAAACTGCTAATCATGCCCTGCCTCACAGAAATAAGTGCCAATTAGGAGTTGTTCTGAATCCGTAATGTGAAAAGAGAATCCCCTTGAAAAAATCGTACCCATTAAAATATTTTCCTTCATCTTCCATTAGGAAGGAAGATATTGGACCAAACTTAGAAAGGGTTCATAAAAGTTCAAGTTTATCACCAAAGAGACAGACAGATTTAACCAATTCATCCACAGTGCTCTTCACACATGGCTGAGGGCCCTACAGCCTGGGCAATGCACTTCCCCATTTTCTAATTGAGACAGAATCCATAGTCATCATTCCTTTCTCTCTACCAAAGATGGTTTCTTGTTTTCCAGAAACTTGGCAGAAGTCCTCTTAAATACACAGCACTTGGAGTTCTTCGGGGAGTTTCTCGAAGAACGGAATGCTGGAAGCCCATTGCAATTCCTGATAGCTGTACAGAAGATCAGTATAGAGACCAATGAAAAGACTTGCAAGTCTCTCATAGAAAAAGTAATCAAGACTTTCTTCCATGGCCGTCTCTCTCCTGGTATGCGTCCTCTTCTGATCCTGTTTTCCTTCTCCCTTCAGTGTCTTAGGAGAATAGCCTGGGAAATAACCTGTCTTATGTGAGGCCCCAGAGACAGCAGTACAGAGTGACAGCCACATGGGGCAGTATTGAGACAAAGATTAAGAGGGAGGGCAAAAGCAGAGAAGAGTAATAATAAATCCAAAGTCTTAATATGAGTTGTATTAGTCTGTCCTCACACTGCTATTGAAGAAATACCTGAGAATGGTAATTTATAAAGAAAAGAGACAAAAGATTGACTCACAGTTCCACATGTCTGGGAAAACCTCAGGAAACTTACGATCATGGCAGAAGGCACCTCTTCAGTGTGGCAAGAGAGAAAATGAGTGCCAAATGAAGGAGGAAGCCCCTTGTAGAACTATCAGATCTCTTGAAAATTCACTGTCACGAGAACAGCATGGGGGAAACCACCCCCATCATTCAATTATCTTCACCTGCCCTTGACACATGGGGATTATTACAATTCGGGATGACATTTGGGTGGGGACATAGAGCCAGATGATGTCATCCACCCGGCCCCTCCCAAATCTCATGTCCTCACATTTCAAAACACAGTCATGCCCTTCCCACATTCCCCCAAAGTGTTAATTCATTCCAGCACTAACCCAAAGTCCAAGTCCAAAGTCTCGTCTGAGATAAGGCAAGTCCCTTCTGCCTATGACCCTGTAAAATCAAAAGCAAGTTAGTTACTTCCCAGATATAATGGAGATAACAGGCATTGCATTAATACACCCATTCCAAATGGGAGAAATTGGCCCAAACAAAGGGGCTCAGTCCCCATGCAGGTCCGAAATCCAGTAGGGCAGTCACCGAACCTTAAAGTTCCAAAATGATTTCCTTTGACTTCTTGTCTCACACCCAGGTCACACTGATACAACAAGTGGGCTTCCACAGCCTTGGGCAGCTCCATCCCTGTGGCTTTGCAGGGTACAGCTCACCTCCCAGTACCAATTTACTGTATTAGTCCATTCTCACACTGCTATGAAGAATTGCCTGGGACTGGTCATTTATAAAGAAAAGAGGTTTAATTGACTCAGTTCCACATGGCTGGGAAGGCCTCAGCAAACTTTCAGTCATGGTGGAGGGCACCTCTTCACAGGGTGGCAAGAGAGAGAATGAGTGCCCAGGGAAGGGTGAAGCCCTTGTAAAACCATCATATCTCATGAGAACTCACCCACTATCATGAGAAGTGTGTGGGGGAAACCACCCCCATGATTCAGTTATCTCCACCCGGTCCTGCCCTTGACATGTGGGAATTATTACAATTCAAGGTGAGATTTGGGTGGAGACACAGAGTCAAATCATATCACTAGTAAAGGAAGCCAAGAGCAAGATACTTTCACATGTATCCTCTCATTTAATTTTATTTAATTCTAAAACCAGAATTTTATTTAATCCCTGAAATATAGGGACAGGCATCTCCACTAGACTAATGAAGAAAGGGAAACACAGAGAGGTTAACTAGCTTGTACACTTCATAGAACTTGAATTCAAATTCAAGTCATTTGGCCATTAAACCATCTAGGGTGAAGTTAGATACAAAAAGCAAAAGTTAGCTGTCTGCAAAGGTGGCGTGTCTGCCACCCGTGAATTGTGAAGACAGTTGTACTGGGAAGGAGAACTGTGTGCCTGAAAAATCTTTGTTTTTGAAGTTGTGTCTTATTTTGTTTCCTAAGTTGGGAGGATAAATATGGTAAATAAAGTCTTGTTGGCCAACAGCTGAAGTTGCGATGAAGAGAGAGCCTCCTATTTTGTCGCAGATGGTATTTTTGTATGTTTGGTTTTTGCTTTTAGTAAACCAAGATAAGGAAATAAATTTTTGTGAATATAGAAAAATAGGTCAAATTAACAAATATTTATTCATAAGCATTATTTATTTGTTGAATCTGTGGATGTTGAGTTCTGTACAATATTTTGAATAAGCTAGAAGAGGAAGAGTGTCCAGATCCTATCCTTGATTATTTTCAAGTCTCATCAATGAACACAACAGTCCGAATACCTGAAGAACCATATTACCCTCACAATACTTATCTGAAATCTTGGATGCCCTATCTGCCCAGCAATTTAACTGTAATCCTTTCCTCTTCTGCTTTCTCTCTAAATCCAAATTTTCAAACCAGCTGCAGAAATAAGTCCTTTAAAAATTTCTTTCCTCTTAAGCACGTATCTTCGAAATTTGAATAAAACCAAATGAGGAAAAGAATTTGGTTTACAAATGGGTTTGCACATCACATTTCAAATATGCTTTGGAGATTTTCTAACAAACTGTGGAGGACTCAGAGTTTAGCCAGATTGAGAATGGGTGTGGTGAGACTCAGGATGAAAAAACCACCAGCTGTCTCAGAAATGGCAGACCAGGATTACGGCTTCTTTTCTCTCTTGCATTTTCTAGAAGAAATGCTGCAGTATGATGCCCCTATCATAAAAGAAATCGCTCGCATGCATCATGTCACCGTGACCAAAGTATTAGAGCTCCAGGGACATATTATGAAATCTATAGAAGAAAAGTGGTAAGTATACTCAGTGAAAGAAAGAATTCTTCTGGAGTTGCTCCTTGGGGTTTCATAATCCATTTTCATAACTCATTGCTAGAGCCTCTCTACAAAATAAAAAGTCAAACTCATCTTGAACTCTCCTACCTGTCTACCACACACACACACACACACACACACACACACACACGTTTCTGTTTATTTGCATTAATAAACAATAGTGTTGATCAGGAAGGTTAGGCTGACACTAACAAAGGTCTGATATAGTAAGAAGATAATTTTTTAGTATTTCATCATTCCCCAATTACCACTGAGACTTCCTCCGGAAGCTGCCGTAGGTTTGCCTGGACTGTTATCTTTTATGTGCCAAGTTTTTGTCCTGTTTGATATTCCTGATCTCCTTCTGGCAGGTTTAAAGAATATCAAGACCTGTTCCCACCTCGCCCTCAGGAGGTGGACGTACGAAGTGAAGTACAACGTTCATCTAGGAAACCCTCAAAGAGAGTGTCAGCTTTCCTACAGGAATCCCAGGTTAGTGCAGAAGAAAGTGGAACAAGACACTGGAGACAAGAAAATCATTGTCTTAGGGGTAGGTTTTTAAATCCCCATTTTGCAAAGGAGGAATCTGAGACTCAGAGAAATTGTTATACTAGGAATTTAAGGAAGTACCTCTCTTCTCTACCTGTGATTAGAATCAACTGAGTAATAGGTACAGGGACCGGACACATGGAGCTCTTCTAGTTGAAAGTTAGTGTGGAGGACATGGCTTGGCAGTGAAGCAAAGAGGCTGGTCCTCTGCATCCAAATTAAATTTACAAACCCAGTCACTGGTCTAACAGAACAACTTACACCCCCACTTTCCAGGGTGAATCTCTTACTGTATATCAAAAGCCGAGCTTAAAAAAGGCATCCTGCAGACAAACAAACCAGAGAGAGAATGCAAAGAGCTGAGAACAAAGCGCACCATTTCCTTCTTTCAAACTATCTAGCTCATTCTTTCTCCTATGGGAGGACAGAAAAAAGGAAGAACGAGGAAAAGGAATGTTACTCAGGAAAGTCTCTATGTGGTATGAGAACAAAAAAAAAGAAAGACAATACATGTCCCCTTAGAGAATCAGTTGCTCCATGTGTTTTAGAGGCTGGTCAGCATCGGAAGAATTTTAGCCCAGCTCTGTCTGACTCCAAAGATCATTCCAAGATAACTTGGAAAATAATGCCTAAGCCCATTGATCCAGTACTCCAGGGATGAAAATGTATTGCTCCCTCCTCTCTCCTCTGTATTTTCTCCATATATGAATAAACTCCATGTCAGGGCACCATGAATGGTCATATAGACTACTAAAAAGAATACTTTACCCAGAACCAGTGCACTTGGTTTAATTTCAGGCCTTCCAGTTGTTCTTAGAAAATAAGATGAAAGGAAACCAACATGTACTGAATGCCTACTCTTTGCCAAGCACTGCTTTGGGGTTTACGTAGATAACCACCAAGTCTCACTGCAACCCTGAAGGCTATTGTTTCTGTCTTACACATGGAGACACTGAGACACAGGTTAAGTAACTTGACACAAATTACACAATGAGGTTCTGAGAAGCTAAGCTTCAGACTCAAGACTCAAAGCACTTTTTGATCCCAAATTCAGTGCTTTTTGTACTTCACTGCTTTCTGTCTAAAGCCATGCTTACGTTGTTTCCCTCCCTGCAGACTGAAACAACTGAACTACTTAACCAACAAAGGTCTTTCTGGCTCTAGGTATCAATTTCTTGAAGGACAAATAAAATGTACAGTGGTTCCTGGGTACCTATTTAGAAACAGATGAAGAAACTTACAAAATTCATGTATGTGGGGTGTGTGTGTGTGTGTGTGTGCATGAGAGAGAGAGAGAGAGAGAGAGAGAGAGGAGGTGTATGAGTGGGTAGAAGTAATTATAATCCCAGCTACTCAGGAGGCTGAGGCAGGAGAATTGCCCGAACCCAGGAGGCGGAGGTTGTAGTGAGCCGAGAACGCGCCATTGCACTCCAGCCTGGGTAACAAGAGCGAAACTCCGTCTCAAAAAAAAAATTATATTTTCTTTTTTAAATGCTTAGTAATGTTCATTTCCTTATTCCTTCAATGTTTCAAAATTTGCCTGAGCCTTCGGTTCTTTATTTCTGTTCTCGTTTTCTTCCAGTTTTTAGCTCTCATGCGCCCTCTCTTAATCACAGCATCTCACATCTTCACTGTTGAAAGGCTGTGGTAGGAGGAGCATGAACAAATGGCTACGGCCATGACTGTTGAGGCTAGAATCTTTCACCCACCAGCTACTTAATTTGGGGCAGATTATACAATGTAATGAACGCCAAGCTTTGGCATAAGGTAGACTCTCGGAGAACAGCAGCTATACTAAGGAACACGTTATACTCCTCTTTCTTTCCCCAGAAGAAAGGCTGGCTGAGGATGATCAGCTTTATCAGGAGCTTTTGCAAGTACCGCAGATTTATGTCGAATCCTAGTAAGCGCCAGGAATTTGAAGACTATCTTCACCAGGAAATGCAAAATAGCAAGGAAAGTAAGTCATTTCTATATTTGCCCCACTCCCTGTTGATATTTTAGCCATCAGGGTCAGCCCACATAAGAAGCTTATTGCTTTGTGTCATGTCTGCAGCAGCCTGGAGTCTAGCAAAAATGCCCAGGTCCTGTGTGCAAAGCCAAGCCCAGGCCTGCCTAGAGAGGATGCAAGCCCCGAGGCCTCTGCTTAAGGAGCCAGCAAGGATAGGAAATAACTAACCTAAGGCATTGCCAAATCTCATATTTACAAAATAACTGCCTTATGTTTTTGAATTTGCTCTTTAAAAATTATTTTCAAAATGTTTCTGCTTATAAAATTAACACATGCTATTAATAAAGAGGTAATAAAAATTACAGGAATATATAGTATAGAAGTGAACATCCCTCCAGAGATGACATTGTTAATACTTGTGAACCTGCCTCCTCATTATTTTTCTGTATATTACTTTTCCCGCAAAATTGAGGCCATATATCTGATTTGTAACTCGCTTTTTTTTTTTTTTTTTTTTGCTCAACAATGTATCGTGGACATCGTTTTGTCAGTACACGTATATCTGCCTTGTTTTTGACTGCCATAAAGTGTCCATTATATGGATTAATTCAACTGCTTCACTAATTAATTCCTTCATTTAACACACTTTTGGAGAATCCACTACATGGCAGGCAGTTTGCCAGATGCTGGAGATACAGTCGTGAACAATAGGGAGCCTGCAGCAGAGGGTCTGCCCTGTGTACCTGCAGATTTCAAACAGAAAACGTAAGCCACAGAGGCTGGAGCCAGAGTGCCTGGATTTGAATCTGCCGTTCTCTAGCTGAAGGACCTTGAGAAAGTTACCTCGTACCTCCATTTTCTTGTCTGTAGAATAGGAATGGGAATTGTTTCTATTTCACAGAGTTATTAGAACTGTTCTTGGCAATAGTACATGCTATAAGAGGGTTAGCTAGTGTTATTGCTCTTATTATATAATTGTGATGAGTGATCCCAATGATAATTGCAGGGAGACTCTATTAGTCAAGGCAGGAGGGCCAGAGAAAATTTTTCCCAGAAAATGACATACAGTTGAGTTTTCAGGAATGACCAAGTTAGGTAGATGGGATGGGAGGAGAGTGATTTCTAGGTATGCTCAGAATCATAAAATAAAAAAGAGGATGGTGCAATTCAGAAACTACCATCAGGCCAGTCGGACTAGAGATTCATGAGATGGGGAAAGTGCTTGAGATGAGACTTGAAAGACTGACAGTGACAAATCATGGCTCTCTTGATGACATGTGAGTTGTTCTAACTTTCACTTAAGCAATGCTGCAAAACATACATCTCTTGCAATTGTGTGTTTCTATGAAATAAATTCTTTAAAATGGGAGTGATGGGTAAATGGTTAAAAACAGTTAAATTTTCGCCCTCCAAAAACACTGCACTAATTTAAACTCTTGCCAACCATATAAACTAGTGTCTGGTTCCTCACATTCTCATCAACACAGTATGTTATACATTTTTTAAAACTGCCAACCTGGTAAATGAAAAATAATGGGCCAGGTATTCTATTCTCATTTATATTACTTTAGTAATTGAGCATCTTTATTTACTGGTCACTTGTATTCTTTTTTTAACTGTTTATGCCCTTCATCTATTTTTCTATTGGTATTTTAATGTTACTTATTTTAATTTGAAAAATGTTTGTATATGTATTTTATGAACTGCTTCAAAACCAAACATTTTGGCTTTAAGAATAGTTTTAGCAGGCCGGGCACAGTGGCTTATGCCTGTAATCCCAGCACTTTGGGAGGCCAAGGTGGGTGAATCACTTAAGGTCAGGAGTTTGAGACCAGCCTAGTTAACATGATAAAACTCCATCTCTACTAAAATACAAAAATTAGCTGAGCATGGTGGTGTGTGCCTGTAATCCCAGCAACTTGGGATGCCACTGTGCTTCAGTCTGGGTGATAGAGCGAGACTCCATCTCAAAAAAAAAAAAAAATAGCTCTAGCGCTTTTGTTGCTTTTTTTTTTTTAAATAAACCAGCTCAAGCCCTCATGCCCCCAACTGGTAGGAAGTCCTGTTTCATCATTCTTTGACTCCTCCCTTCCCCAGTATTATGTTAGAACGCAAGACCTGTACTTACCCAATTCAATAGGAAGTCTACACAACTTCCGGTTCCCCTTAGATGCAGGGAAGAGCTTATGACACTCAGCCTGACACTGGTCTAAGTTTTTATTTAAAATATAGCATACTTATAAGTGACTGTATGAATACCCATCATCCAAACCAAGAAATAGAAAATGGCATAACTCAGATGACACCTGATGTCCCTCTTCAATAGAACTCCCCCTTTACCCATCACTTGAATCCAGGAGGCAGAGGTTGCAGTGAGCTTAGAGCACACCACTGCACTCCTATCTTGATGCAACCCCTATCTTCAACACAAGCGTTTATTTTACCGTTGCCTTTTAAAGCGTACATGTGTTTTCATACTCTTTCTGTAGTTTCCTGCCTCAAACAAACTTTGATTCCCATTGGAACCTCCACTGAATTTTTAATCTCACTGATTTTCTTATGCCAGAGTGTGTGTGTGTTTAGTATCTGAGAAAACAGAAGCAATCAGAAGAGTTTTACAGCTTCCCTCCACTGAATCACCTGTCTGCCTGCCCTGTATTCACATGCTCTGGTCACTGAATAGACTGCCTGACCTTGCTCTTAAGGAAGCATCCAGGCCCTCATCTACTCAAGGGCATTCATCCGGTCATTTTTGCATATTCTCCTGCATCATTTTTATTTTTTTCTACTGGATTATTCACTCGGCACCAAATATGGCATAGTACCTCTCAACTAAAAATGAATCCCTGATTCTACATTCCCCTCCAATTATCTGGCACATTTGTCTGTTTCCCTTTTGAACAAAAATTCTCGGGAGTTATGCATTCTTGCTACTTTGTTTTCTTTTCTTCCCATTTATTTTTAAATTACTTTTTAGAATAGCTTTTTAAGCTACAATTTTTATAGAGTAAAATTCACTAATTTTAATTGTGCAATTTGATTAATGTAACTACCTTTGCAATCATGATATAGAATACTTGCTTCACCACAAGAAATTCCTTTATGCATCTTTTCAATCAACACCCTCCCCCTTCCACTACTGCTCTCTGGTCTGGCAACAGCTGACCTGCTTCTATCACTACAGCTTAGTCTCTTAAAGAATTTAATATAAATGGAATCATGCAGTAAGTACTGCATGCATGCAATAGTCCTTTATGACCAGCTTCTTTTACATAGCCTGATGCTTTTGGGATTCCTCTATGCTATTGCATATATCAGTAGCTCATTCCTTTTTATCGCTGGGTAGTATTCCATTGTACCATAGCATCCTTTGTTTACACATTCACCAATTGGTACATACTTGGGTTGATTACACTTTGGTGCTATTATGAATTACACTGCTATGAATATTCAAGTATTCGTGTGGATATATATTATTTCTTTTGGGTAAATATTTAAAAGAGGAAGTGCTGAGTTATGTGGTAAGTATATGTTAACTTTATAAGAAATGGCCAAACTGTTTTCCAAAGTGATTGTACCACTTTTGCATTTTCACCACCAGTGTAGGAAAGTTTCCATTGTTCCCCATCCTCACTAACCTGTGGTATTATCTGTCTTTTTAATTTTAGCCATTCTAGAGGGTCTGTAATGGTATCTTGTTTTAGTTTAATTTTTATTTTGTTATGACTAATGATGTTGAGTATGTGTTTATGTGCTTGCTTGCTGTATTAGTCCATTTTCACACTGCTGATAAAGACATACCCAACACAGGGAAGAAAAAGAGGTTTTAATGGACTGACAGTTCCATGTGGCTAGGGAGGCCTCACAATCATGGAAGAAGGCAAGGAGGAGCAAGTCACATCTTATATGGATGGCAGCAGGCAAAGAGAGAGCTTATGCAGGGAAACTCCCCCTTTTAAAACCATCATATCTCATGAGACTTACTCACTATCTTGAGAACAGCACAGGAAAGACCTGCCCTCCATGATTCAGTTACCTCCCACTGGGCCTCTCCCACAACATGTAGGAATTCAAGGTGAGATTTGGGTGAAGACACAGCCACACCATATAAATTGCCATACATATGGTGCATTTTTTAGTGAAGTGTCTGTCTGTATCTCTTGCCCATTTTAAAAAAAAACTCTGTTGTGTTATTATTGAGTTGTAAGAATTCTTTATATAATCTAGATATATTCTTTGAGGGACATACTTTGAAATTATTTTCTCTTAGTTGATGGCTTGCTCTTTCATTTTTTACTTAGTGTCTTTTGAAGATCCAAAATCCAAAATACTCCAAAATCTACCACAAATAAAAAATTTTGCACCTAACCTCATGTAACAGGTTGCAGTGAAAATGCAGGGAGGGGCACAATACACAATTTGTGCAGTGTCCCCAAGGGGTAGATGAAATTACCTTCAGGCTATATGCATAAGGAGTATTCAAACATAAATAAATTTCGTGTTTAGATTTGGGTCTCATCCCCAAAATGTCTCATTGTATATATGCAGATATTCCAAAAATCCAAATCTGAAACACTTCTGGTCCCAAGCATTTCAGATAAAGGATATTCAATCCATAGTATAAGAACCTTAAAATAGGTTTCCAGACATTGTAAATTATATCTTTTCAGGTGTTGGATGTTTTTATATTCCTATAAAATATGCCTGAACTTTGTTGTGAGATGCAGTTAAGTTACTCAAAACTAGTTTTATTCTTTTGGGTCTTCCTTTTATGATTGGTTAAGTGAATTGAAAGCCATGTCATTTGCATAGCTAGTTATTCTCCACTACTGAGGTAAAACCTTCCTGGGTATTCTACCAAGTTCCTCATAAATTATAAGTTTTTCTAGTCTCCTGGTGGAAGCAGGCACTATTTCCGGTTCTGTGTGAGCATCAAGGACCGTTCTTTAATGCTTTCAGATCCCCCTACCCTCAAGCTTTGGGTGGTTTCCTCATATCTTGAGCGGGTCAGCACTCTGCTGAGTACTTGAGGGAACCTCTGCAGATTTCCAGTTTCTCCCTCTCCTCTTTGAACTCCATCTTGTGAATTCTAGCCACATTGATCTCACTGGACTCTCACGTTCATCTTCTCAATTTAGAGAGTCCACGGAATTTGGTCTGGGTTTTCCCTCCCTGACTATGGAATGGATCCTACCTCAAGGTGGTAAAGTGGGGCAAGAGTAGAGCTCACTCATTTTTCCCAAATTCAGTGATCACTGTCCTTAATTCTCTGATAGTGTCTTAAAAACTGTTTCAATATATTTTGCCTGACTTTTAAAAATTGTTTCTGGAGGGAGAATTCCTTAGTACTCTATCTTAGACAAAAGTGAGCATTCTAATAAAAAAGTTTCAGCAGGCTGGGCACAGTGGCTCACACCTGTAATCCCAGTACTTTTGGAGGCAAGGTGGGTGTACCACCAAAGGTCAGGAGTTCGAGACCAGCCTGACTAATATGGTGAAACTCTGTCTCTATCAAAAATACAAAAATTAGCCAGGCATGGTGATGTGCACCTGTAATCCCAGCTATTCAGGAGGCTGAAACAGGAGAATTGCTTGAACCAGGAGGCGGAGGTTGCAGTGAGCTGAGATCACACCACTGCATTCCAGCCTGGGAGACAGAGCAAAAACTCCCTCTGAAAAACAAAAGTTTCAACAGATTAGTAACAGTAGCCAAGTGAGAATGATCCTCCTGACTATAATGTAGGGAATATACTACACAAAAGCAAAATTAAGAGTAGGAAGCACAGTCAGGGCAGGAACTAGGCTGAGGCAAGAAAGGCATATAACACACAAAGATTAAGGAGGCACTGACCCTCAGGCTCATACACATGGCAACTCCACACTTGTACCACTTTGATAGTAAACGCTTCCTTAAAATGTGTCCTAGGCACCTCCGTCACCTTAGTAGGTCCTGACCCTAGTCCTGACCCCAAGAACACTTACGTGGTTTTTGCAACAAGTGAAAGATGATGATGCTGTGAACGAAGGTCACTGCAAGAAGGACCAACAGTAGATCTATTTGAAATATATTCAGAAAGCAGAACCAACAGTATTTGGTGACTAATTGGATGTGGAAAGAGAAAGAAGTCAAATATGACTCCCAGGTAGTAATGAGTTGGAGCTGCTCAGACTGGTTAGTGAGAGCCAGCTGTTAAATATTCTGAAATTTTGTGAGCTACCTAATCAGCGTCAGTAGCTTAAAATGTAGTACAGTGAAAATATTTACTATTGAAATCGGTGAATAATACAAATCAGGTCTCCCCTTCTACCACCAAAGCCAGTTTACAGGCATCCAATGGCTTCCAGGTTAATTGGGTGAATTTGTCACCCTATTTCCTAGAATCCCTAACCATCATGTCAATTTCCACTATTAGCTAGACTTTTTTCACTTCAAACTCAAGTCTAAGAGAGAAAGATTGAAAGACAGTAGGAGAGGGACCTTATGTCTTATGCAATATGGCAACCCTAGGGTCTGGCACAGCGTCTGGGACATAACAAGTGTGAGGTATTTATGGAATCTTCTAGTTACCCTCCCATTCTGTTTTGTTTTGTTTTGTTTTTGAGATGGAGTCTCACTCTGTCACCAGGCTGGAATTCAGTGACACTGGGCTCACTGCAACCTCCACCTCCAGGGTTCAAGCAATTCTCCTGCCTCAGCCTCCCGAGTAGTTGGGATTATAGGCGAACACCACCACTCCAGGCTAATTTTTTTTTTTTTTTTTTTGTATTTTTAGTAGAGACGGGGTTTCACCATGTTGGCAAGGATGGTCTCGAACTCCTGACCTCATGATCTGCCCCCTTGGCCTCCCAAAGTGCTGGGATTACAGGTGTGAGCCACCACGCCTGGCCTACCCTCCGATTCTGCATAAACACTGCACCAAAAGGAATCCTACCTACACCATAGGGAGCACCACACCAGCTTGAGTAAATCCTGAACAGCACTCCAGAATAAAGGATTTACAGAAAGAATGGTAAATTCTAGAGCCAGATTAGACATTTTTCTGAAACCCAGCCAGATAACTAACCAAGGTCTATTTGTCAGATCCAGCCCAAACCTGTTCTTTTCTCAGACCTGAATCCCTATGAATAGATTTCTTTGGCTATAATCTAGTCGATAAACTTCTAAAAGAAGCATTTTATTTTTCTGACACAGAATCCACATCTTTCAGTGCCTCTTGTGCTCTCCTTTACTCTAGCTTTCTACCCTCAGTTTCCTTAATAAACGTCTTTACTCACGATATTTTGACTTTTGCTTTGTGCTGCTTTTCTCATTTGCTCGTAAACTACTTCCTGATAAAACGTGAGTAAGCATCATTGGTGCTACACACTCCATTTGGAAGGTCACATCTGCATGTTTCATTTTCACAGCCTCAGCAGAAACCTTGGGCATTAGCGTAACTATAGTGGGATTACATTTCTATTAGATGAGCACCTTCAGTGCTCAGATGACTTATGTTGTGTGTGTGTCATACTACCTGAGTTGATGGCTTTTTCAGCAGTCCTTCAAGTCCGAGTAAAAGGTTGAGCCCAATGGCAGAAAGTGACTATTTCAATAGGCCAATAGGGTAGATGGACAGTCTCCTTTCTTCGTTTTTGTTATGCCCAGGTTGAGGATGAGAGTGACTTGCTCAAACAAGATTGTACTTCCTTCTTCTTTCTCTCTCAGATTTCACCTCACCACACAGCACCTTGGGCCGTCCAGCTCCACCCACCGCAAGCATCCGGAGCGCAGACCAAGAGAACGGAGAATCGACCCTCGTAAAGCGCCGTATATTTGGACACAGGATTATCACTGTCAACTTTGTGATCAATGATCTATATTTCTTTTCTGAAATGGAGAAGTAAGTTTCCCACCTCCCCTTCTTCTGCCCTGAGAATGACTTTTCATCCTTAGTACTGCCCAGCAAAAACTGGCTTGATCTGTAAGAGACGCGGTGATTTCAGCCCTGCCCAGTAAGAGTCCCTCTTTCTGACAATCCTGCGGAATGCTGTCACTCAGTTGATTTCCATCTTACTTTTCTTGGGGTCCTAAGAGCTCTTCAGTATTCCAGAAATTCCAATGTTAAAATGCAGTTACTTAGTCCCAGAAAAGGCAGCATGTTTTTCTTTATTATTTATAAATGTGAAAAAGTCCTATTATGTAACACCATGGTACCAGTATTCTTCAGCTAAAGCCAGGAATTATAATATAAATTGTGTGTGTGTGTGTGTGTGTGTGTGTGTGTGTGTGTGTGTGTGTATGATATTAAAGAGATATTTTTAAGTTAAGTCTTATTAATGTACATTAATTCACCTGTCAAATTTTTTATCTAAAGCCAAACAAAGTCAATCCACAATGGGAGGTCTATATATTTTTCTTGCATAAACTATACCCCAAAAGCTGTCTGCTAGTTATTTTTTTAATTGATACATAAAATTAGGTCTTATTTCTTCTATCTAACTGTGTATTTGTACCCCTTGATCAAACTGTCTTCATCCCCCACCCCCTACCCTTCCCAGCTTCTGGTAACGACTTGAGATCCCCTTTTTAGCTCCCACATATGGGTGAAACACGTGATGTGTCTTTCTGTGTTTGGCTTATTTCACTTAACATAAGTGAAATACAGCTCCACCCGTGTTGCTGCAAATGACAGGATTTCCTGCTTTTCTGTGGTGGAACACTACTTTGCTGTGTATCTGTATACAGCACATTTTCTTTAACCATTCATCCGTCGGTGGACACTTAGGTTGATTCCATATTCTGGCTATTGTGAACAGTGCTACAGTAAACATGGGAGTGCAAGTATCTCTTCAACACACTGATTTCCTTTCCTTTGCACATATACCCAGTATTAGGATTGCTGGATCACATGGAAGTTCTGTTTTTAGCTTTTTGAGGAAGCTCCATACTGTTTTCCACAATGGCTGTACTAATTTATGTTTCCACCAACCAGGTACAAGGTTTCCCCTTTCTACACATGCTCACCAGTGTCCGTGTCTTTTTGATAATAGCCATTTTAACTAGGGTAAGATGATATCTCATTGCGGTTTTGGCTTGTGTTTCTCTCATGATTTGTGATGTTAGCAGTTTTTCATATGCCATTTGGGCATTTTTATGTCTTCTTTTGAGAAATGTCTGTCTAGATCTTTTGTGTATTTTAAAAATCAGATTATTTGGGTTTTCTATAATTGAGATGTTTGAACTCCTTATATATTCTATCTGTTGTTTGATAGATAGTTTGCAAATATTTTCTCACATTCTGTGAGTTGTCTCTTTATTTTGTTGATTTTTTCCTTTGCTGTGCAGAAGCTTTTTAGCTTGATGTGATCCCATTTGTGCATTTTTGCTTTGGTTGCCTGTGCTGCTTACACAAAAACCTTTGCCCAAACCAGTGTCCTGCCATGTTTCCCCAGTGTTTTCTTCCCGTAGTTTCAGAGTTAAGTCTAAACATGTTAAACATTTTTATTTGATTTTTGTGTATGGTGAGAGATAGGGGTCCAATTTCATTCTGCTGCATAAGGACATTTAGTTTCCCCAGCACCATTCATTGAAGAGGTGGTTCTTTCCCCCATTGTACATTCTTGCCACCTCTGTCAAAAGTGAGTTGGCTACAAAGGCATAGATTTATATCTGAATTGTCTATTCTGTTCCATTGTTCTATATTTCTGTGTTTATGCCAGCACCATGCTGATTTATTTCCGTCTTCATTCGTTTCAATAAGTTTTTTAATTTTCTTCATTTCTTCATTGACCCATCGGTCATTCAGGAGCATGTTGTTTAATTTCCACATATTGTACAGTTTCAAGGTTTCACTTGGTATTGATTTCTAGTTTTTTTCCATCATGGTCAGACAGGATGCTTGAATCTATTTATACTTTTGGAAATTTGTTGAGACTTGTTCTGTGGTCTAGCTTGGAAAATGTTCCATGTGCTGATGAAAAGACTGTGTATTCTGTAGCAGTTGGGTGAAATGTTCTGTCAACGTCAGTTGGGCCTATCTGTTGTGGTGTGAAGCTTAACTACAATTTTGTTGCTGATTTTCTGTCTGCATGATCAGTCCATTACTAAGAGTGGGTCTGTAGCAGTTGGGTGAAATGTTCTGTCAACGTCAGTTGGGCCTATTTGTTGTGGTGTGAAGCTTAACTACAATTTTGTTGCTGATTTTCTGTCTGCATGATCAGTCCATTACTAAGAGTGGGTCTGTAGCAGTTGGGTGAAATGTTCTGTCAACGTCAGTTAGGCCTATTTGTTGTGGTGTGAAGCTTAACTACAATTTTGTTGTTGATTTTCTGTCTGCATGATCAGTCCATTACTAAGAGTGGGTCTGTAGCAGTTGGGTGAAATGTTCTGTCAACGTCAGTTGGGCCTATTTGTTGTGGTGTGAAGCTTAACTATAATTTTGTTGCTGACTTTCTGTCTGCATGATCAGTCCATTACTAAGAGTGGGTCTGTAGCAGTTGGGTGAAATGTTCTGTCAACGTCAGTTGGGCCTATTTGTTGTGGTGTGAAGCTTAACTACAATTTTGTTAGTGATTTTCTGTCTGCATGATCAGTCCATTACTAAGAGTGGGGCATTGAAATCTCCTGTTATTGTATTGCAATCCTTCTCTCCTTTTAGATCTTTTAACGTTTGCTTCACATACTTGGGTGTTCTCATGTTGGATGCATAGATATTTATAATTTTTCAATTCTCTTACTGAATTGGCCCTTTTATCATTATATAGTGACTCTGTCTCTTTTTAGAGTCTTCAACTTGTATCCTATTTTTTCTGATATAACTATAGCTATCCTGGTAATTTTTGTTTGTTTCTACTGACATAGGATATCTTTTCCATCCCTTCACTTCCAGTATATGTGTGTTTTCCTAGGCGAAGTGGGTTTCTTGTAAGTAGCATGTAGTTGGGTCTTGTTTCTTGTCATCCAGCCACTGTACATCTTTTAATTGGAGAATTGAGTCTATTTACATTCAACATTCTTATTAATAAGTAAGAACTGACTACTGCCATTTTGTTGCTTATTTTCTGGTTGTTTTTGAACTCCTCTTTTCCTTTCTTACTGTCTTCTTTGTGATTAAGTAATTTTCTCTGGTAGTACATTTTAATGCATTGCTTTTTATTTTTAGTGTAACTATTATAGGTTTCTGTATTGTGGTTACTATGAGGCTTACCAAAAGTATTTTGTGGATATAACAAATTACTTTAAAGAGATGACAACTTACCATACATCAGAAAGAAAAGAATAAAAACAAAGAAAAAAGTAAAATGAACCTCTACACTTTAACTCCATCCTCTCAACATTTGGAAATCTTGTCTCAATCTGCATATTTTATATTGTTTATCTCTTATCAGATTGCTTTAGCTATTGCTGTTTCTGATAAATTTGTCTTTTTTTTTTTTTTTTTTTTGAGATGCAGTTTCACTCTTGTTACCCAGGCTGGAGTGCAATGGCGCGATATCGGCTCACCGCAACCTCCGCCTCCTGGGTTCAGGCAATTCTCCCGCCTCAGCCTCCTGAGTAGCTGGGATTACAGGCACGCGCCACCATGCCCAGCTAATTTTTTGTATTTTTAATAGAGACGGGGTTTCACCATGTTGACCAGGGTGGTCTCGATCTCTTGACCTCGTGATCCACCCGCCTTGGCCTCCCAAAATGCTGGGATTACAGGCGTGAGCCACTGTGCCCGGCAAATTTGTCTTTTAGACTTTACACCAGGATTATGAGTGAACTGCACACCACAAATACTATATTAGAATATTCTGGGTTGGTCTGTGCACTTACTTTTACCAATGAGTTTATAGCTTCACATGTTTTCTTCTTGCATGTGAGTCTCATTTTTTTTTTTTTTTTTTTTTTTGACGGAGTTTCGCTCTTGGTACCCAGGCTGGAGTGCAATGGCACGATCTTGGCTCACCGTAACCTCTGCCTCCTGGGAACAGGCAATTCTCCTGCCTCAGCCTCCTGAGTAGCTGAGATTACAGGCACACGCCACCATGCCCAGCTAATTTTTTGTATTTTTAGTAGAGACGGGGTTTCACCATGTTGACCAGGATGGTCTCGATCTCTTGACCTCATCATCCACCCGCCTCGGCCTCCCAAAGTGCGTTAGTCTCATTTTCTTTCAGATTAAAGAACTCTCTTTAGCATTTCTTGTAAGACATGTCTGTTGGTCATGAATTCTCTCAGCTTTTGCTTGTCTAGGAAAGGCTATCTCTCCTTCATAGTTGAAAGATAGCTTTGTGGGATATAGAACTCTTGGATGGTGGGGTTTTTTTTTTTTTTTTTTGGCACTTTGAAAATGTTTTCTCGTTTTCTCCTGGCCTTTATGGTTTCCATTGAGAAGTCTGTTGCCAGATGAATTGGAGTTTTTTATATGTTATTTTCTTCTTTTGCTGCTTTTAGGATTCTCTGTTTGTCCTTAACCTTTAAGAGGCGATTGCTATAGTACATGGGGTAGTGTTATTTGGGTCGAATTTATTTGATGTTCTCTGGATTTCCTGTACCTGAACATGTATGTCTTTGTCAAGTGTTAGGATGTTTTCTGTTACTGTTTTGAATAAGTTTTCTCTTCCTTGCTCTTGCTCAACTCCCTCTCAAACACCAATAATATTTAGATTTGATCTTTTGAAGTAATTTTACTTTTTTCTCCTCTGTCTCACCATATTTGAATTCTGAGGTGTTGCTGGTAATAACCTCAGTACTGTTTGTTTTGAGTTTCCATATGGGGAAATGAAGCCAACTTGCTTCCATGGTAACATTTCGGAACCTAAAGTGTCTGTCTACTGATTTGAATTCTGATTTCTTTAAAGTGGAACAGAATTCAAAGATTACTGTGAAGCAATTTAATCCTTCTGCATTTTTGTGCTTTTTTAAATTTTTTATTTTTTGAGATGGAGTCTTGCTCTCTCCTCAGGCTGGAGGGCAGCGGTACAACCTTGTCTCTCTGCAACCTCCACTTCCTAGGTTCAAGCAATTCTCCTGCTTCCGCCTCCCAAGCAGCTGGGACTACATATACATGCCACCATACCCAGCTAAGTTTTGTAGTAAAGACAGGATTTTACCATATTGGCCAGGATGGTATCAATCTCCTGACCTCGTGATCTGCCTGCCTTGGCTTCCCAAAGTGCTGGGATTACAGGCATGAGCCACTGCACCCGACCGACAGCATTTTTTTTAAAGCTGCTTGCCTTCATTAGAATTTCCAAAACATTCTAATTTGTTTTTTTAGAAATAACAACTTTTCTTTTATGTTCATATTTTATCAGTTTTCACAAGTTACTTATCATGGCAATTATAGTTACTAATTATCTTTACAGAAGGGATGACATTTGGAAAGAAACACACTCCTGGTACACATTCACCTCAACTAGTTAGAGAAAGGTGAGAGTGTACTAAAGATGTCCCACTAATCTATGCGGTCAACATGTCGTGGGTATCAGTCAGTGTGTCTTTCAAAAATATAGGCACCTGGTAACTCATACATCAGTTAGAAGAGTTTGGCTAAGAGATCTTCTCCTGCACCCCAGTGATGGATTTAGCTCATTTCCACAAATGCTTGTTGATCGTTTACTCTTTATTGAACACTGGATTTGACATTGTAGATACAAAAACAACTAAGAGGTGTTCTGTACTTCTAAGGTTCCACAAACTAATGAGTGTGGCAGAAAAGACAGAAATAAAAGTTAGGAAATGTCTCAGGATGATAGGTGCTATGGGAGAGTCAGGCACAGGAAGAGCACTTAGACAGCTGTAAGTCCTCAGGTATGGTTTCTTGGGATATCCAAAATTCTTGGGTCATCTAAGCTAAATTTTGAAGGTAGAGTAGGGGTTAGTCAAATAATAAAGTAGGTAGGGGTGGTAAGGGAAGAGCAGAGGGAAATAGATACTAGTCAGAGTGAACAGCCTTGCCTGCTGCTGCTCCAATTCCCACCACATTGCCTCTTCTTCCTCACTTGACCTCTGCAAACTCTTCTCTGTATAGCAACCAGCGTGTCCTACTAAAAGCATAAGCCAGACTAGATCATTCTCCTGCCTAAAAAGTTCTACTGGCTTCCCATTACCACTGGAATTGAGTCCAAACCTCCTCTCATTGCCTAAAGTGCTCTGCAGCACTGGAACCTGCCTGTAACTCAGGGCCTGCCCCAGGTCTGCACAGGAGAGGGAAGAGCAAGATAGCCCTTAGGTCTTGAAGTCATTAGAACTGAAAATGCTGCTGGGCCAGAATGGGTAAAGAAGGGAGGATGGGATGAATAAGAGGGTTTGTGGTAAAGGAATTCACAACCTGGCCTAGAACTGGCCTTGCCTTTTTGGGGCCAGAAGTAAGTCTAGGCTGAGTGCCTTCTTAGTCACTGTTTTCATCTTCTCCTCCTGATTTCCTACTTAACATTTATTTTTTTTAGATTTAATGATCTGGTGAGTTCAGCCCAGGTGCTGCAGGTCAACCGGGTATACAACAAGAATGATGTGGTCCTAATGCGGTCCAAAATTAACATTATCCAAAAGCTCTTCCTGAACTCTGACATCCCTCCAAAGCTGAGGGTAAGAGAGACTCGCACTCCACTCTGGCCTTTCGCCAAGAAGCATGTCCCCCATAAGGACAATTAGAAAACTAATTGTCAGGCACCTTGTAAGTCCCAGCGAACCCAATATCCTTTATCTAGCAACTCCATCAAAAGCTTCTGCCTTCTGGAGAGGGGGCGGTCATGGGGTTCTAGGGGCCTGCCAGTGACAGGCTCCCACTCTGTGGGTAGGTGAATGTCTCTGAATCCCAGAAGGATGCCATCCTTGCTGCCATCACAGAGGGCTACCTAGATCGGAGCATCTTCCACGGGGCTATCATGTCTGTCTTCCCCGTCATTATGTACTTCTGGAAAAGGTAACTATTTCCCCTTACTCAATGACTGCCAGGTCAGGAAAACACACTTATCTTGGAAAGAGTTTTCTGTCTTCCTCTAGCCCTCTGTTTCGTAGTTTCCAGTTTCTAGGGGGAGCTAAGATGATGTTTTCTTATCTTACTCCCCTCACTCCATCCCTCACACAGAACACCAAACACTGAATCCACAGACAGAATCAGAGTAAAACTGAGAACCCAAACACCTGGTTTCCCACCTCTCTTCTTTCTGTGCTTGCTTGGAGTAAGAATGTGAGGTTTTCTTAGGCCTGAGTTTCTCGCCAGAGGGTAAGAGTGAACCACAGCCACTTGGGGAGAAATTCTGTCAAGACCAACACAAGCACATGTGCTTAAGGAGCTGCATGAAGGAAGGAAGCCGGAAGTGTTTTGCTCTGTTCTGCCCAAACTCCCATAATTACCACTGAGGGGGCACAGTTGCTAGATGCTCCGATTATCAAGAGGAGCTAGAAACTGAAATTTTTATGTCCTCTCTCTCAAGGTTAAAGTGGCAAATGTGGCAACTAACAAAACGAAAACCTGGTGAAGAGCCTATGAAGGCCAAAAACCAAAACCAAAACCAGCAAACTATCTGCAGATACTTTGTGGCCAAATGCAGTCTGTGGCCCACTGGTTTCTAAACTGTCCCGTGGAGGTCTGGACTGAGCCCTCTCCACTGCTTGCTTATTCCTGTGGTCTGCCAGAGTTCCAGCTCATGTCTTCCACATGGTGAATGCCAGTGCCTTGGGTGGTGGTGACCAGAGGACACCTGGCTGAAATGTTCCCAGGCAAAGCTAATCAGGACACTTAGATTATCATGTGGCTTGGACACTTAGGAGTTCCCATCTTCCACCAAAAAAATAGTTACTTTATTAAAATATAAGTGTGAAATTGCTTAGCAATCGCTAACCCTTATGTTAAAATCCCTAAGATAGTAAATTATTAATACAGAACCTAGAGAAGTACAAAAATCTAAGTTCAAAATAAGCAGTTTGGCTTTTTGAACATCAAATGTTGTCCAGCACTTAATTCTAGTTCTCCAGGCAAGGACTCAATAGACATTCACCTGGAGACTTTTGGAGGGAGTGGGAATCTCTGGGAAATATATGCTCCTCTTGAATGAGCCAGTGTTCAGCTATCTCCTAAGTGCTTAGAAAAATCAGACATGCAGGCCGGGCGCGGTGGCTCACGCCTGTAATCCCAGCACTTTGGGAGGCCGAGGTGGGTGGATCACGAGGTCAAGAGATCGAGACCATCCTGGTCAACATGGTGAAACCCCATCTCTACTAAAAATACAAAAATTAGCTGGGCATGGTGGCGTGTGCCTGTAATCTCAGCTACTCAGGAGGCTGAGGCAGGAGAATTGCCTGAATCCAGGAGGCGGAGGTTGCGGTGAGCCGAGATCGCGCCATTGCACTCCAGCCTGGGTAACAAGAGCGAAACTACATCTCAAAAAAAAAAAAAAAGAAGAAATATCAGACATGCTTTAGGGAGGCTTTGAATTCCTGTTCCTCCTGCAGTTTCTTTACCTACTTTCCTACATACTTATAAAGAGATTTATATTATACAAACTGTGTTTACATATATTACCTTAAATACTCCTCCCAAACCGTATGCAGTGGGTGGGAAGGAGTATTATTATCTCTATTTTACCGATGAGGAGACCGAGGTTCAGAGTGGTTGAGGGATTTGTCTAGGATCACTAGGTAAGTGGTAAAACCAGCATTAGAAAAAAGGTCTCCTCGTCTCTCATCACCATAAATAATGCATGTGTGGTATACTGGTAGGTCTATGAGGGGAAGGAGACCCAGTTCAGCAAGTGAAATGGGAAGAGCCTACTGGGATAGAACAGACTGTCTCTCAAGGAGAGGGGAGGAGGACAGCAAGCAAAGCCACCAGAGACAAAGTGCCATAGAAAATAAATTCAGTCTTAGCCAAGATTGACCTCCAAGGTCTAATCCAAGGACTGGCTGAGGGTAGGGATAACAAGGGGTTTGGAGCCAGGTAAAAAGAGATGGTGTGTGTTGCACAAGCTTCTAGAGAACAACAGTTTTCAGGTCATAAAGAGGACATAAATCTGAGTTCACATGAGAAACCAGGTCTATTCCAGGGAAGGGCCTGCTGGGAATAGAGTGAGGTGGGCAAGGCTCTCAGTAAGGGGCAGGGTGGAAACCAGGATTGAGGACCGGAGCAAAAGCCTTTCAGGCCCTCTGGCCATGCCAGGTGGGGTCAGATAGGGATGTCAGAGTCTGATGCTGGGGTGCACCCCAGGGGTTAGCCTCACCCTAGGCCTGGGGCTAGCAGGCTCTTTACAGGCTCCATTCACCGGTGGTATTCCAGAAAGAAGTCCCAACAAACTGCCCATGCCAGGACCTCACTGGAGCCAGGTCTGGACAAAGAGGAGGCCTCAGAAAAAAGGCCACTGGCAGTAGTACCCGAGGCCAGGATGCTCTCCTCTTCTCTGTCAGACACCCACATTCTCCGAGGACTGGCTTAGCCCCATTTCCCCTGTGCTCAGTGCTCCAGCCCCCTCCACTGGGGGTTCCCGCCTGTGACCAGGAGCCATTCTTCCCACAGGTTTTGTTTCTGGAAGGTGACCCGCTCTTACTTACAGCATAGGAGGAAGAAGTTCAAGGACAGAAAAAGCCCTCCTAAATCTGTGAACAAGTATTCCTTGTGGAGTGGAGGTAAGCTCCACCACGACTCACAGCCCCATTCTCTAGCAACTGAGACTTGTGAAGAGAAAGCAAGGGCCCAAGGGGCCAACTTCGACTTCCCCGAGGGTGCCTGCTGGAGCGGGACAGCTCTCTTACGTGGCCCTCAGGGAGACGGAGCACTCAGGGTAAAGCGTGAGTTATCTGTCACTAGCAGTAGCTCCCGGATGCCTCTGTGCCTGCTCATTGCATCTACGCTGAGGGTACATGGAGAGGATGACCTGTTTTTCTGCTGCTTAAGAAGCCTCCTGCTTATCTCCATTAAACCCTCCCATTAAGAAAGCATTTATTTTATAGCATTAAGTGACAACATTAAAAACTGTATATATCATTTTAATGTGATAAATATATATCTTTATGCATATGTAATTTCCATGAAAGCAGACATATTTATGTAAAAAGCTGATGTATAAAAGCACATATTTACTTATGAACAAATTTGTAAAAAATAAGTAAATATGTGCATATATACATATATACAGACACACACAGTCATGTACCACATAATGAAGTTTCAATCCATAACAAACCAGATACACAATGGTAGTCCCATAAAATTAGAACCCTGTATTTTTACTGCACTTTTCCCATGTGTAGATATGTTTAGAGGCACAAACACCATGGTGTCACAATTGCAACAGCATTCAGTGTAGTAACATACTATGTAGGTTTGTAAGCTACCAGCAACAGGCTATTCCATGAAGCCTGGGTGTGTAGCAGACTCTGCCATTTGGTTTGTGTAAGGACATTCTATGATATTCACACAACCACAGAATCACCTAAGGACACATTTCTCAGCATATATCTCTGTCACGCAGCTGTGACTGGTACTTGAGCAAAGGAGAATTTTCACAAGGAAGGGGATGGTGAACAGGGCAGTGGCTGGTGAGGACAAGACTGGGTGTCTTTTGGGGGAAAGTTCTGAAAACCAAAGAAAACAGGTCTGTGAATCTGGGAACAGAAACAGAACAAAGTATGGAGATAGGACACAAACAGCAACTATTTGTGCAACTATTTGTAATAAGCGTATTACAAACAGCAACTAACTGCCCCATAACGGAGCTGAACATTCTCTTGATTTAGCTCAAACCTGCTTGATTCTTTTGTCCACGTTTCCCAGGTACCTCCCCCTTCTCCCAGGCCAACTCCCACCCTCTTCTTGTAGTGCAAATGAGTTCCCTTGAGACCTAAAACCCTTTGAACAGTCAGAGAAGCAACTGGCTGGCTGTGGAGCCCAACTCCTGCCCCTCTGAGGGGTTCCTCGCCTCAGTAGAAAGGAAATCGCCGACCTTTCTGGCTGCAGTCACCCCAGTGATCCAGAACATTCCTCAATACCCTATTATCTGCCTTGCAAAATGCCTCATCAGCAGACAAAAATCAGCAATCTTGTCCGTACGTGGGTAATATGTCCTTGTGGCAGGGGTTGTGGGATGTACTTGTTTAGGATGGGGGTGGGAGTGAAGAAAGAGGAGAATAAGACTAGGAAAAGGACAGAGATGCAGGTAAGCAGGGCAAGCAAACAATATCCATTCTGAGGAGTGAGTACCACTACTTATTCAGCTTCCAGCTCGTGGCTCATTTCCTATGGCTGAGCTTCAGGGAAGTAAATCCCTGCATTTATTCTAATATCAAAAGGAGGGAGAAAGCAAGCAGGATCACCTGAATCAAGGGATCAGGGTTCCATACCTGGAGAGGCATCATGTACAAGCTGAGAGACCTTGAGCATGGTGTTTCCCTCTCAGCCTCATGCCCCTGATCTCATGTCTCAGTCCGTTTTGCGTTGCTAAGACAAAAATATCTCACATTGGGTAGCTTATAAAGAAAATAAATTTATTTGGCTCATGAATCAGGGGACTGGGAAGTCCAAGAGCTTGACGCTGACATCTGGCAAAGGGCTTTATGCTGTATCACCCCCTGGTGGAAGGCAGAAGGGCAAGAGAGTGTGAGAGAAAACAAGAGGCTGCTGAACTCACCCTTTAACAAACCCACTCCCATGATAATGGCATTAATCCACTCATGAGGGCAGACCCCTCGTGGCCTCATCACTTTTTAAAAGTCTTACCTCTTGATACCATCTCTATGGCAATTAAATTGTAACATGAGTTTTGGAGGCAACGTTCAAACCACAGCTTCTCAGTTACAAAGGTTTAGATGGAGATAATTTTTAGCATTAACATTTTCTAATATAAAGTTAAACAAGAGCTTTATTGCTTACTTAGAAAGATTTATTTCAGTAAATAAGCAGTTGTTGCAAGTGTTTTTAATGCTTGTTTTTGTCCTTCCCCAGGAGACAATGCCATCTTAAGGTTCACCTTGCTCAGAGGTATTGAGTGGTTGCACCCTCAACGGGAAGCAATAAGTTCAGCTCAAAATTGTGAGTTGGAATTGGATCCCCACTGTTAGCAAAAGTTTACTACTCAATCAGAGGGTGACTTTAAAACCAGGGTGGCCAATCCCCTTATTGACCATAAGGAGACTGAGACCCCCAAAATGTGAAGTAACTAACTGAAGATCACACAGCTTGCAGGCGACAGAGAGGAGGTGAAAACTGAGTCTCCTGACCTCCTTCCATGCCTCTGTGAGCAACTTTCGTCTGAATAATCATATCTTCCTCTTTTTTTGTAACCCGGGAAGGCAGGTACCTTAAGCTTCTCTCTATCTCTGCTGACTCGTCTTCCCATTTCCAGGCATGATGTGTGATCTTTAGTAAGAGACTATGATGGCCGGGAGCGGTGGCTCACGCCTGTAATCCCAGCACTTTGGGAGGCCGAGGCGGGTGGATCACGAGGTCAAGAGAATGAGACCATCCTGGTCAACATGGTGAAACCCCGTCTCTACTAAAAATACAAAAAAATTAGCTGGGCACGGTGGCGCGTGCCTGTAATCCCAGCTACTCAGGAGGCTGAGGCAGGAGAATTGCCTGAACCCAGGAGGCGGAGGTTGCGGTGAGTCGAGATCACGCCATTGCACTCCAGCCTGGGTAACAAGAGTGAAACTCTGTCTCACAAAAAAAAAGAGACTATGATAATGTCCTAACTGTTACTTCCGCCTCACACTGGGACCAACTGCTGGTTTGAACACACCATACCTCCTGCTTCATGTGGGCTCCCGCTATGAATCTCTTCCCTGTCACAAACTGTGCAGTTCTAACCTCCCATACTGAGGCCATATTATATTCTTTTCCTTCCCCATCTTCAGTCTCAAGGTATCAACCCCACTCCCATGCACTAACCCTGCCTTTGTTTCCACATGGTCTCTCCCAACAAACTTTCCCTTTCTATCCCAACTGCCAGCTTCTGTTAGGGAAAGAGGTTGGAAATACTGCTTTTCTGCTTCTCACAAGCATGAAATGCCAGCAAACCTGACCTGCCCATTTGTACGTGTTTCCTCATTGCTTAATGGGGGAGGCCACTATGGAACATTACCTGTGATCCATAGGGTCCAAGCAGCTCTGAAGTCCTGTGATTCTAGTGTTCACCTGGCCTAATCTATTTTACCTCCCTGGATCTATGTGATTGACATCATGGCCTTTGTGTCCAGATGAAAGGTCTCGTGGGACACACACAAACACACAAATTGCAGCATAGAAACCAGGTCTCCTAAATATCCCTGGCACAGGCCCACTTTACCTTCAATTTCCAACCCCTGCCCTGGAGGTGTCCCTAGAAGCCCTCCCCGGCGTCACCGCCCCCCCCAGGCTGGAGGCCTATCAGTGACTGTGTCTGTGCCATGAGTTCTGAAGCAGTTTTTCTCTGTATTTCTCTTTAGCTTCATCAAGCAGCCTTATTCAGCCAAGACTCATGATATCTGCCATGCAGCTGTATCCTGTCCAGGGGTAGGCATGAGCCGGAAATCTTCTTCAGTTCAGACCTGCTACGTCCAAGCATGCAATGGGAGAGGGGATAGACTTTCTAGAGACTAGCCTCGAACCCTGCCTCTTCTCAGCATGCAGAACCTAGAAATAGAGCTTGCTGCATCTGGAGGGAAATTAAGGAGGGGTTTCTCTGTGTTTCTCACCTCCAACTAGGACAGGCACTTTTAAGAAGTTGGAGTTTCTGACCCACTTTTAGGTAGAATACTGCTGCTGGTGGAAGCGTCCCAGAGGATCTTGTATTTGTATTTGTTAATATTTTTAGGTTTAAGGAGTTCAAGTGCAGTTTCGTTACATGGATATATCGGGGAGTAATGAAGTCTGGGGTTTTAGTGTAGCCATCATCCAAATACTGTACACTGTACCCATTAGGTAATTTCTCATCCCTTACCCACCTCTCACTCTCCCAACCCTTCCACGTCTCCATTGTCTATTATTTTGCTGTCTGTGCCCAGGTGTAATTATTATTTAGCTCCCACTTATAACTGAGAACATGCAATATTTGACTTTCCATTTCTGAGTTATTTCACTTAAGATAATGGTCTCCAGTTCCATCCATGTTGCTGCAAAATACATGAGTTTACCTTTTTATGACTGATTAGTATTATATTGTGTGTATGTCCTGCATTTTCTTTATTCAATGGTCTTTTATTGCCAGCTTCCTGAATATTCCAGCTGTTTAGGGCAGGGTGCGTAAGGTAGGAAAGAAAGAAGATCTGTTCTTCTGCTTGGCAGGATATTGGCAACAAGAACAGAAGGGACTTAAATCTGTTAAAATCTGCTTCAGGCTAACTCACTTCTGTACAAGCTTCCAAGTGAAACTGATGCTAAGTTTGGGCTTTGGAAGAACCTCGGGGGTCATGAAAACCATAGCTGAGGAGTGCCAACGGGTTGTTTGAGGGCCAAAGTGGTAGACAGCAGCCTCTGAATGACAGGCCTGGTGTACTCGCCAGCCAAGTCACTTCTCAGGCTTGCTTCCAGACCTGTCCTTCCAACAGGGACTTGGAGCTGCCCAGGTATTATTTGCTGGTGCCAGTGCCCAGAAGACAAACCAGATACTTTGAGGCTCTTTACACTGGAAAAGCAATGCATGACTTAGAGCATGTAAGATCTTGGGGAAGAAGGTGAGACTAAGAATGTGAGAAGACCCATTCTGAAGCCCAAAGGTTTCAGTTTTGGCTATTACCGTTCCTAAAGGAAATGACAGTGACAAACCAGTAGAGAATGCAACTTCAATTACTGCATCATCACTGTGATAACTGGCTCTTCTCTCTCCCTTTAGACAGAAATTATCCTACATCAAAAAAGAGAAGAAGTAAGTAAGCCAGACCCCCAACAGAGGCAGATCATTGCTCAGAGGCCTCCTAACACTGACAGAACCTTCTCTGGTCAAAAATGAAAGGCCCTAGTGCCATCTTCCCCAGGAATGATGAAGAAGGGTAATGGGGTAACGGCCCAGATATGGCAGGACCAGACTGCAGTGGGTAAGACTTGGGCAGAGCATGAGAGGAAGTGCTTCTTTCCACAGTGGGCTGGGTCAGGAGACCTGGGCTCTAGGTCTCGCTCTGCAGCTTCATGGCCTTGCGCAGATCCTGGCTCAGATTGTTAAAGAATCCCATGAAAAATGGATGTCGAGATCGCTGAATGCAGTCAGGAACAAGGTGCTATAATTATCAACAGGGACAGATGGCACCTTTTAATGGTAGGGCCTCCCATTTGGACAGTGACTCACACCATTGTCTCAGGAAGTCCTCACAACAACGCTGTGGGTGCCACGTCGGAAATCATTTATTTTTAAAGCATAGAGAAGGTAAGTGACTTTCTTAAGATGACTAGGCAGTAAATGGCAGTATCTGGGCTGGAACACACTTCTGATGTTTTGTCCCATTCTTGTTCCATGCCAACCATTTACACAACTTTTCATGCACAAAAGGAATTGTTCTTCCTGAGAGTTCTGTTCATTTGCCAACTACCAGATTTAAAAAAAAAAAAACTTTAAAGGTTTCGAGCTAAAGCCCTGAACTATTGTCACAATTTTAAATGAATAGGCCTATTTTCTCTCCTTTGAAAAAAAAAATCAGAAATAAAATGATTCAGAATTTCCTGAACAAGCCCCCAGCTGAGGTAGCTGAGGACAGGTTGGCTTGTCATCTCTGTGGGTTACACAACAGGAAAGGACTGGAAAGCTTTTTGGAGAACGCTTTCACATTTGCATCCAAAGCTTCCTGTTGTGTCAATGTTTTTTATTTCCCAGACTTTTCACAAGGATGAAAAAGGTGATGTTAGAGCAGAGCTCATGAACACCTGAGACTCTGAGGTCACCTGGTTGGGCTGTGCTTGCAGGAGATCCAGGAAAACTGTAGGCAGACATGATTCTAGAGGACGCTGAAAGAAGGCCAGGTGTGGAGACCTCCCTGGGCCCCTGGGAGAAGGCCCAGCAAGACAGGAAGACCTGGACGAAAGGGCATGAGGCTTCCCTTCCCTAACAGGGCTAGAGCTTTAGAACAGCACTGTGATTAATAGAAGGAAGAGTGGGCATGAGACAAAGTCCCAGTTCCTAAAAATCAGGCAAAAAACTAAGGCAAGATCCCAGGTAAGGAATACAGAAGAGTTCAGTTACTAGAATTGAGGTAACAGGGAAGCGCTTCCTCAAAAAGGAACAAGTCACAAGCCTTATGCATGAGACTAGGGAGGATGTCAGGCCAGCAACAAGGTGACTGACGAGGACCTAGTAAAACACTGACTCATGGCCACATACTGAAATACACTGGCACTGGAGTGGGGCATGGCTGAACCTGCGTGTTGGCAGTAGACGGGTCCCTTAAGGAAAAGAAAGGTAGTTTTCCTGACACATTTAACTTGGATCTTTGCCCTGTCTTCCTGTTTCTTAATTATCTTTCTCTCCACATTCACCATGGGTATACTCATGTGCAGGTATGCAAACACACAAACGTCTTATTTAAAAGGCTTCATGATAAAAAGCAACCCTGAGCTGGAAAACATCTTCTCTTTTATTAAGTCTTGCTGATTGCTTTTTTCAGTTTCTTGCATACTCCCTTCAGAGATCCCAGATCGAACATGTTCTCATGCCAGTTAGGCTAGTGTCACTAAGTCAGTCACCTGCAGAATACAGGCAAGGTATATACATGAGTAAAGCAGCCCATGAGAGAAAAGAGGGAGTGGTAGAGACTGCAGCTAACCAGAGAACATGTCCCAGAGGGGACAGAGACAGTCTGCTCAAGCCAGCCAACCTAGTGTTGCCAGAGCTTCTACTTAGAAGAGGATGGATGGATGGATGGATGGATGGATGGATGGATGGATGGGAGGGAGGGAGGGAGGGAGGGGAAAGAAATTTTAAAATTTTGTAATATTACAGTTAAAACAAAACTTAGCTGGGGACAAGATTGACTCATAACCCAACAAATTGCAATCTTTGCTTTAATTATTATTTTTTTGCCCTTAAAAATGGTTTTGGTCCTGGGTCTAGTTTGAACAAAAAACATGGGAGGGGATGAAAAGGAGTCCCAACGATAGATCCAGAGGCCACTGCCATCTAAGGAAAAGGCCAGGTGAGGAATCTGACCCACTGCAGTTCCTGTCGTTTCATTTTGCTACAATAACAAGTTCCCAGAAATTTAGTGACTTAAAACAACACAAACTATTATTTTACAAATCTGTGGGTCAGAAGTCTGACCTGGGACTCAAGCTAACATCAGGGTGACAGGAAGGCTGTGTTCCTCTCTGGAGGCTGTGGGGGAGGATCTGTTTCCTGACTCATTCAGGTTGTTGGCAGAATTCAGTCCTTGTAGGTGTAGGACTGCAGTATCACTTCCTTGCTGGCTGTCAGCTGAGAGCCATTCCCAGCTTCCGAGAGGCCACCTGCATTCCTTGGCTCAGGGCCTCCTTCCGCTGTCTTTAAAGCTAGCAATGATGGGTCAAGTCCTGCCCGTTCTTTGAATTTCTCCTGCTTCTTCTAGCATCGCATCTCTCTGGCTCCCTCTTCTGCCTCCCAACTCCCTTTCAAGAGCCCACCCAGATAATCCAGAATAATGTCTCTGTTTTAAGGTCCTTAGCCTTAGTTCCACCCACCACCTTCCTTTTGCTGTGGAAAGTCACATACTCACAGGTTCTAGAGTTTAAAGTGTGGCTATCCTAGGGAGGTCAACAGATATTCTGCCTGCCACAGTTCTAGACACCTTCCTTAGAAAAGAATGTATGAACTCACAGTCTGGGCCTCTGATGCGATTACTGCCTTCTAGAGACTTGGGAAACCCATTTTTTCTTTCTCTTGTCATATCTCTGACTATTCTTTCTCATTCTTCTTCACATTTCTTCTGCTTCTTCCTTAAATATCAGTGCCCCCTGTGGCTCTTCTGTTCAACTATCTTCTTACAATGCACTCTCCCATTCGCTTGAGATCCCTAGCCCCTAGCTTCTTGTCCAGTAGGATCCACTGTAAATTTGCCATTCTAACAGGATCCACAGCACAAATTTAATGTATCCCAAATCAATTTCGGCCCCTTTATTTCTCTTCTCCAGTCAACCTCATCTTCCAAGCTAGAAAACTTAGAACCATCCTCAACTCATTCTTCTGCCTCCCCTCCCATATTTTACCTGCAGGAACGGGAACTTCTGCCACTCTGCTCTGGACATGTCGCTGGCATCCAGACCTTCCTTTCTGTCCTACTGGCACTGCCTTCTTCAGGCCCTCGTCCCCATCACTGGCCCTGTGACATCACCACACCTCCCTCTCCACACACAGCCAACACATTCTGCTTCATCCCACACTGAGAACAAATCCAACCTGCTTATTTCCTCCGCATGAAAGCCTTTATTCCCCTTCCTCACCTGGTTGAAAAAGACTCAACTCCTTTGCGGGACATACAAGGCCGTTGCTAATATGACCTCAGTCCAGGTTTCAGGTTCATCTTCTTCCTCTCTCTCTTTCATATACTCCATTCTCCAGCAACACTGTGATTGTCTAAAGGGTCCTCCCCTTTCTTCTCCATTGTGCAGACATCACACTGTGACAACTCCTGATTCTCCTTTCGCCACTTACTCTCTCCTCTTTGTTTCTGAGACACATTTTTTCCTCTCCCTAAGATACTTATTCATGTACGTGTCTCATCTATGAGACTACTTGCTTTTGTAGGGCAGATACCAAGTCCTATTTTGATTTGTACCTAGAATAGACCAAGAACTATTTTTCCCCATACCTAGCACAGTGACATGCAGATAATGGTTGCCTCATAAATACATATTGAATGCATGAAGATGAATTGTGCTGGGTGCTGGGAATGCAGTGGAGAAAACAGACCGTGAATTTCCTGCTTTCACTGACCTTATAGTCAGTTAGACTGTGCAATTAACGGAAAATCAGTTCAACTATCAATTATAGTTTTGACTGCCACAAGAAAGAAGAAATAGCAAATGCTATTGTCTTCATGAATTTTTTTTTATGCGAGTAAATCTTGATTTTTTAAGAACTCTTTGTGTTTTAGGAAGCTCATACAACCCATTCAGACTAAAGAGGAAAGCAGAAAGAGCAAGAGTGACTGAGCTCTGCCTTCACCTTCAGAGAAGCCTTTTCTGATACACGTCAGAGAGTGACATAAATTCTCCCCTCTTTCTACAGAAGTATGAAAAGACATCTGTCCCTCATTTAGAGAGCCTCCAACTGATCCAAGTGTCGTCCAGAGGAGGAGGCGGCTCTTGTGTGCAGGACCTCAGGGTGCCGGCTCTCAGCCATACACCTCCAGGGCTGCAGGTCATTAGCCAGAATAAAGGAGTAAATTCACAATCTGTGGGCCTGTCATCCTCTTAAGTAAAAAAGCACAGGGAAAGTGATAAGTTGCTCCCAAGGCCATGTCCAATCCAAAGGATTCATGGATATAATACTTCTCTTCCCAGATGAAGACCCAAGCCAGCCAGTCCCACCCAGTGGCTTTGACACGTGGGCCCTCCTATACCAACAGAGTCCAGACCAGGAGGCCCTGCTGCCCTTTCTTCAGAGTTCACAGTTTTCCATGAGGCAGTCTTGTTTAAATCCCATCTCTGCTCCTAGCAACTTCGTGATCATCAGCAAATTACTTACCCTCGCTGACTCCCAACACTGTATGTGAAATAGAGCTGATGATATCTACCTCATCGGGTTGTCTGAAAACTGACTTCATATAATGTAGTCCAAGAGCACAGCATAAGGCCAGGAGCAGAGGAGGGTGGGAGGCTTTTGTTGCTTTCCCTCTTTCTGTCTTTTCCCTAAACTTCCCAGGACATGAAGGAAGTGGTTGGTCAAGAGTGGTACAGTGAATAACTTATTCCTGGGAAGATTCTAAAGGTATTTTCTCCAACAAGTTACAGGATCCTTTAGGGCAGAATGAACATGACATCACAAGTCCCAGCTGCATGGGAGGCTGAGGTGGGAGGGTCACCTGAGCCTGGGAGGTCGAGGCTGCTGTGAACAGAGATCACACCACTGCACTCCAGCCTGGGCGACAGAGTGAGCCCCTGTCCCAAAACAAAACAAAAAACAACAAAACCCCACAAGATCCATTTAATTACTGATGCACATGTATCCTTTGGAGGATATCTGTGCATTATATGTTTATTATTAATGGGGAGTAATGGGACTTCTTTCCATGCCCTCTACATGCACACCCTGAGCCCCTGATATACATACTTTTAAAATATTAGTGAGCCTTTGTTACACACTTACTATGTGACAGCAGGGATAGGAATTGTAAGCCTCATTCTACAGGCAAAGTAACGGAGCAGGAAGATGTCAGTGGCTTCAAAATATGTGATGCTTCCTGGTGTCATGTGAAGATTCTGTTCACAAAGACTGAAAAATTCGCTTAAATGTCAAAGGAAAATCAGAGAGTCTATGCTAGTCATTTTTTTTCAAGAATTATATTTGTGCCCAAAAATGGGTTTGGGTAGGTGGAAATGGGAACAGTAGGGGGAAACAAAAGGAAAGATTGAAGAGATGTAGGACTGCCAGACTTAGCAAATAAAAGTACAGGCACCGAGTTAAATGTGAATTTCAGATAAGAAATGAGTACTTTTTTTTAGTATAAGTATGCCCAGATATTGCACGGGACATATTTAGCTGACACTAAAAAAGTTATCTGTTACTTACCTAAAATTCAAATTAACTCAACATCCTATGTTTGATCCAGCAACAGGCCCTCTCCCCGCCCCTACTCCCCACACCTCCAACCAAAATGGGATGGGCCTGGGAATTTGAATACTCACCACTGGGGCTAGTACTGGGGTTGGGACCAGGTCCCAGCAGGGAACAGGGGAGCATCTGCTTTAGCAGGGGTCATCTGTCAAAGAAATTTGGAAATTAAACCCAGAGGTAATTAAAGTTTTGCACACAGCCGCCCTCTCCCTTCCTAAAGGTGCCCAGAGGATGCCTTCCTCTCCCCTTCCCTCCCCGCTCCTCCCTTCACCTGCAGGGACTCAGCACTCACATCTCACTTTTTGTTCCTTAGATGCATCATAAAAACATCAAGTTGGAAGCCATTGCTAACTGTTCCTCGTCTTATTTCCCTTCTCCTCTTCTTATTTTTAGTAATAGAACCCCCTACATTTTAGCTGCGCCCCTGGTCACCCAAGTAGAAACTTCATTCCCCATCCTCCCTTGCAGCTGGGTAAAGACATGCAGCTGAGTTCTGCCCAAAGGAATATAGGCAAAAGTGATAGAAGTGACCACCTGACCTCCTCTTACTCTTCCTCCTTGTTACCTTCTTCCCACACTCATTCTCTCAATAATCATTTCTCATTGCAAGGCCTTTAATACCATCATTGGATGACCCACATATTTCTCCCCAGCCAATCTCCCCGAACTCCTGATCCGCACATCCGACCCTACATGACATCTCCACTTAAATGTCTACTAGGAATGTCACATTTGGCATGTTTCAGGTGAAACTCTTGGACTTCGCTCTAACCCTGCTCCTCTGGAAGCCTTTCCACCCCATTCAATATCAGCCCCACTCCTCCAGTCACTCGGGCCCAAATGCTGATGACTGTCCTGGACTCGTCTCTCTCTCACACCGTATCTCACCCTGTCAGCCAATCCTGCTGGTTCTACCTTCAAAATACATCCACAGTCTGCCCGCCCACTTGAAGTCACCCTCGCTGCCGTCACCCAGGGTCGCCTACTAAAGTCTTTGCACAAACTATTTAAGTCTCCTAACTGATCTCCCTGTTTTTACCCTTGCCCTCTGCTTTCTGTTCACAGAGGAGCCAGCGTGGTTCTTTTAAGTGTTAAGTCCCATCATGCCA